TAAGATCGGCTTGGCAAGATACTAGTAAGGTTTTAGAAGTGTCATTTTTACGTACCATAATCTTACATTCGGACAACCAAATATACTTGTAATTATTTTCTTTGACGAGAAGCCGAGCTTGCTTATATAAAAGTTTGTTATATTATATAAAAGTGTGTTAAATGATCACTTATGGAGATTGGTTTAGATGGGCCGTCCAATCCAGCATCAGCGGTGGTTAAACCTCTCCGGGCACGCACAGCAGCAAGCATTTCTCTTTTACGTTGTCTTTGCGTGAACCTCACGATGATATTGGGTATTGAAGATAAATCGCGTGAGGGTTGACCGTTGTACGAAGCTGCGTTCTTTTTGTTTTTTGGAATAAAACGTTGCACGCGGTGTATGCTATCAATATCTGTCGAAGCTAAAGAAAACCCTATCTTATTTGCTATGTTATGGACAATACTCATCAGATTCTCTCCTTTCACGGTAGGTATCCCAGATACTTCCAAGTTATTTATTCTTCCCTGATGCTCTTTCAAGCGAAGTTGTTGAGAAAGATTATTAATAATTGATCGTGATTCTTCAGCATCATTCATGATTGATTTTATTTTGTGACTATTAATATTATTATTTGATATCAACTGGTCGACTTCTTTTTTGATTGACGATTTATACTTTAAAAATCAGAAATTCTATAATTAGCCCATGAAAACTTTTAGTTATATATTATTAATGTGTATTATTACATTATGTTTATGAATTATGCGCGTATTGCATATTAATATTATTATTTTATACACATAGCTTAAAATTTACAATATTTATTACTTAATAAATATTGTACATTTTATGCTATAAAATGTAATAAAAATATAAAATGTAATAATAAAAACTGCAATCATCATACATTGACGTGGTACAGCCCTGCTGCGGCTAATTATCGTTGCAGCAATGTGTCGGCTCAACCGACCACGCTCCCACAGAACATTAGCGTAAAATAGCAAGTTGGTGCTGCTGTGTTTCTTATGGTGAGTGTAGTGAACCGGATATCCTTTTTGCTTCTCATCCGCATTTTAATTCTTAATTGAGAATAAAATATATGTCTATGGTTCACAGTATCCGCTAACCATCAGGTGGACCGTGTGCTCGTTTGTCACCCTTACTCTATAAAGAAAAAAAAATCAAACTTACTTTCCGCATTATTCCGCGGGAAGAAAATTGCCAATGGATACCAGATAATGCGCCAAAAGCTCTATAGCATTCTATAGAAAAGAACCAGCTCTCTTGTCATAACACGCATGCTGATATTCAAAAGTAATAAAATGAGGCGTCGTACAAATATAAACATAGGAAAGAATTCAATCGAGCGGCAATTCTTAACGTGATCGGCACCAAAGCAAAGCCTCGCACAATAGATGCGACCTCACAATAAAACCTATAAAATTTATATCTACCCTCAATAAGAGTAGAGAGAATACGTAATGAACATTAGGAACAAAGGCGTGTGAAAAGAGCCGATACCGAATTGTGTAGGTGAGAATTTGTTAACAAAAACGATACCAAATTCAATTTTATTTTTGGATGCATAATGCTCAATTTCCAATGTATTTCTTGCATTAGAAATGAAACAATTTAATATCCATTCCAAATAAAATAAATATTGCGTATAGGACCTAATATTGAAAGAAAACTAAATCTGTAAAAGTTAGAATCGAAGATAACTAAAGTTACGCTCTGGGGTTGAAATATTAGTGTTTTGATGGTTTTCTCTAGACTCGCGTTTCAGTGCAGTCGACTTTTGTAGCTTACCGATCGTAGATAATGCAGTGCTACGCCAAAGCTACGACTGTCTACGGCATTGCTACGACGTAAACAGTGCCGGTTTAATTTATTATCGAAACTAGTATTGCAAAAGCATGTTGCATAAATATTCGGGATATTACAGCAAAATATTTGAACAAATTGCTTTCTAATTATTCTTGAATCCTAGTTGTCCCTATGTATTTGATACCATAACTTATTCTTCCGAAACTAAGGTAAGGCGAAGGGTCTCTCCTTTTCTGTCTAAAAGCCCTTCTGGGTTGGATCACCCTCTTACTTATTTCTTCCTGCTGTAAAGTAGCAGTGTAGCATGTAGTGGTAGTGTAGGAATATTAAATACTCCATATTATCGTTCGGTGTGTGTCGTAAGAGGTGACAGAGGAAAATGAAACGGGAGATGGGCAACAGCGTCTTTCCGATAAGAACTCGAAATGAAATATGAGACAAAATTAATGGAAGAGGTCTTTATTCAGCATAGGAAATTTGAAGGCCGTTATGATAAATCGTAAGTACCGGTGTAAAAATTTTTCATAAGTAAATGATAACGTTACAAATAAATCAAATAAATATACTTTTTATTTATTTCCTCTTTTCATTTCGAGTAGCAGCCTCGTACCGGTAGGCGAAGTGTAGGGCGACCCCCCACTAGATGGAGTGACGACCTGGTAAGACATGCAGGAAGTCGATGGATGTAGGTGGCTCAGGACCGTGCTTTGTTGCATGGCGTACGGGACGTTGGGGGAGGCCTAAGTTCAGCAGTGGACTTGTGAAGGGATTTAATGCTGATGATGATGATGACCAACAGTGAGTATTCTAAAATAAATCAAATACATCCGTAATAATATTAAGAAAATTCCTCACTATTTACAGGTAAGCACAGCGTGTACCAATATAAAGTTACTAATAGTATATTATAAAACGAAACGAAACAAGTCAACAATCCAAACAAACATCATCATCAATGTCGAGCACAGTCTTTTTAATTTTAGATTCAGAGGTTTTGTTAATATCCAGCATAGTAGAATATGCCTCATAAACCTTGTAAGGATGTGATATTGAGTAGTGTGACTTTGGCTTTGTGCTGCCGTGACTGGTATGGAACAGTGTAAGCTTAGTGCCTAGACGAGGAAATCTTTTTGGGATCTTAAATGCAATTTTGAACAGTAAGTCAGGGCAGTTTAAGTTTAAGTTTATTCCATAAATTATAATAGGTCAGTCATTCTTGTATATTTTGTATATTTAATTTTATTTCGTATTTTTTTCCTTAGTGATTCTTTCATGATGTGAATTCTGTTTTGAAGAAAGTATTACGCGAGTATATATTCAATTCGGGTTTGGTTCCGAGTAAAAAGTTGCTCGATGTTATTTTTTCTCTACATTAATTTCTTCTCCAAGATTTTAGGTTATTACTGAAAATCATGGTTATAGTTTCACCACAACACTTTTTCAAGTGTTATAAGTACAGTATTATAAGCAAGTGCTTGGCAGTAGTCGATAGTAGTAATATTAGATAGTATATTCCACCTGATGGTAAGTGGTGATGCAACCGAAGATGGTAAAGCGCACTGTCTTAGCATAACAAAAGCCTATACACTCTTGCCTTGAAAACACTATTATAATCAGATGAAAATACAGATGCTGGCAGATTATTCCATGCTGTGATCTCCCTTTTTGGCTTACCTTTGACATACAAACTCAAATTTGTTAAATCTACGTATATTAAATTATAAATTTGTATATTATTATGTGCTTCAATAATCCATATTGCAGTGCAGTTTCTTTCTTTCTTCTTCTTTCTTTGTTTTTTTCTTTCAGGAAACTCATTGTTGAAATTCTGTTTTAAGGGTAAAAAGCAGTTAAATTGTTAGAAGTAATGCATTTCATTATATTCATAGGTGTGACAAAATAACTTCAAATGAAGCAGACAAAAGAAGAAGAAAGGCTACCATCATCAGTGGCAAGTAGGACTGTTAACTTGTTTATCATTCTTGTATTATAGAAAACTTTTTAAGCAAAAGAAAATTTCTTCTCCATTTTTACCAGACTGAGAGAATTATTTTTCGAGATTATGTATTTATGTATGTCTATTTTTAGCACACTCTGTGGCCTAAATGGCTTAATGGATATTTGAGGTGTCGTCAGATACGTCGATTTTGATGATTCTTTTATCTTAAAGATGATGCTTTTCATGTAGTCCCATATAAATTTGATCAAGATCTGATTAGTAGTTTTTGAATTATCCTTAATAATGCATATTTACTTCGACTGCATTAATGGTGTTCTCATTTTAATTTTACCACTTGTTTTAAATTACTGTCTTAACCTTAGGACTTGTAGAAAGCTTAATCAAAACTATATTATACTAGCTTTTTCCCGCAACTTTGCTCGCTTGGTATTTGCCAACATCATTAGTGTCCGTGCCAAATTTCGAGTTTAGGTCATTGACTGTCAGTGTTTCGTCTGTCACATTGTTTTCAGTTATAATATTTTTATGATTTATAATTGACTTTCTACTGTTGCAAGAGTCCAACTTCCGCTTGTTAGGTAATTATTTCCCTCGTGTGTGCAACCTTTTTAAAAAATTCGCGTAATACGTTGTTTCTTCAGCCACACAGAGCTTTTTTAATTCTAGTCTTTCTTAGTAAGGTTTATTCAACTGTGTGAGATCTATCTGTCTAGTAGCATCAACTGTCTGCATAAGATTAGGCTACGATTGGATTGACAAATACATTCGAGATAAAAACCCTTAAATAAATAAAGCGAAAAAAATCACGATGACTTCAATCAGTTTTAAGCACGTCGCAATTCATCAATTATAATTGTAATCATCCCCCCGCGTAGACACCGCAGTGTGCAGACGTGCCTCTCGTTATACTCATTTTCGTAAAAATATTATATAGTATATAATTTCATAAAAGTGTAGTGAAGTAATAGGAGTGCATAAAGTCAAGGAGGTGTATGACTGCACCGTGCAAGCAAGAGGAACCCGCCTGTGACGAAGACAAACATATTGCCGTGAGTCTTTGCACTAACTGAACGTGTCACGAAACACCAATCTCACGCTTACACCCCTCCAAAGACGTGCCCAAGGCCACACCCTTTTCTTCCCGCCTAGTGTGCGTATACGCAAGACTCGCCTCTTGCATCGATCGCCGGCCGTCGGAACATTTAGGCCTAAACACTTGCAATTAAATACGATGTCGGTGCAACGCTCTCCGCCCGGTGGGTTAGTCCCACCAAGCACTAAAATGCACTATAGTTCAGATCCGACCCTTAACGAGATTGCCAACATAGATGAAAATATTCATAGCTATAGCATCACCAAGCGACAGAAACGTACATTTGATAACTTAAAAGATCAATCGAGGTCATCTATATCCGAAATAAAAAATATGTTTTCTGAACTTAAAGAACAACAAGATCATAAGTTTGAATTGTTGAATAACACTCTCACTGCTATAATGACACAAAACCAAGACTTACACAAATCGCTCGAAATGTTTACTAATCGGCATGAAGAATTACTACAAAAAATTAATATCCTGGAACAAGAAAATAACGATTATAAGAAGCGAGTGTGCGTCTTGGAACATAAATTAGATCACTTAGAAAGAAATGCGAGTAGTACAACTATTGAAATCCGCAACTTATCCAAACAAAATAATGAAAATAAAGAAGTTCTGACTCACATAATCCAGAAACTTGGCTCGACATTGGGCCTGGAAACCTCAATTCAGGAATCGGAAATCAGAAACATTTATCGCTTCAGATCTGAGACACTGGTGGTAGACTTCACCACGTCCCTTCGGAAAGAATCCATTATATCAAAATACAAAATATATAATAAAGCAAAACGCGAAGGTAAGGAGCCGCAATTAAATTCGGATCACATTAATCTACCAGGTCCATCACGCCCTATATATATATATCTGAGTATTTAACAAGTAAAGTAAGAAGATTATTCTACCTCGCACGCGAAAATGTCAAAAACAGAAAGCTGGTTGCAGCCTGGACAACGCATGGGAAGGTCTACGTGAAAAAGGAGGAGGGAGCAGCGCCAATTCGTATTGAAGAAGAAAACGATTTACATAAATTAATCATATGACTAGCCACGCCAGGTTACAGCGATCATTGTTTTGTTTTGTCATTTACTTTTTTTATTAGTTTTTATTTTTACTTGTTATTTTATATCCATGTTCAATTCCTTTACTTATACATTTTTTACTCACAGAAGATTTTCAGATATTCACAGTCTAAGTCACTACTCACACAATATACACTAATCACACTCTATACTCAATGCACGTTAAACAAACTAACTATATCGTCGAATAACAGAATTACTCTAACTATAAAAACATATCGCATTACTCCCTGGTCAGCCACAAATATCCTAACAGATCAAAAACCACGCATGAAATGTATAATTCTTCAGTCACGAGTAAATTTCCGTGACTGTCATTTTTCATATTACATTATATTGGACATTTACAAATATGCAAAATATTGAAATTTTAAATTCAGATCTGGATACGATAAAAGTGGCTGAAGCAATCGTATGCGACATTGACGATATGAAACAACACATTAAAAACAATAATTGCACACTAAACCTTCTTTCTCAAAACATCCGTAGTATTAACCGTAATATGCCTAACTTTATTACATTCCTACAAAGATCCGAAATATTCTGGGATATACTAGTACTTTCTGAATGTTGGTTACCATCGGCTAAGTTCATACCCAATCTCGACAACTACAATTATATAAAAACAACAACCCATAAAACCCAGAACGAGGGAGTGGCAATATATTATAATAAACACCTAAAGGTATCGTTTGAAGAACCCCAAATCAGCGATGCCAATTGTCTACTATTAAGGCTTAATACCGAAACCTGTGTTATTGGCATATATAGACCACCTAGCCAAACTAATACCGGCGATTTTATAAATTCTCTTGACTCCCTTCTGTCTAAACTTAAAAACTATAAAAACATAATTCTCTGTGGCGACATCAATATAGATATTGTCCCGGATAGCTCAGATAAGCGCTCACATGACTACCTAAATGTATTGGCGAGTCATAGCATGCTTCCAGGACACACCAAGCCCACTCGTGGTAGAACATGCCTGGATCACATTATAATTAAAACTAAATTAGTGGCTACTTGTTTCATTTTGGAGTCATCGATTACTGACCACGAAAGTGTAGCCGTCAGCTTTACTCAACCTTCTCGCCCAGAATACTTAAATAAGTCATGTTATCGCATTAACTTTTTGGAATTAGACAAAACTATGCAAGGATTTAAATGTCAGAAAATTCTTCATTGCGTGGAAGCAAACCTAGCAACAGATTTGTTTCTGAAATATTTAAATACATCCATAAGGGATAATACCACCTTGATTAAAACGCCTAAAAGAAAACTTATAAGGAAACCGTGGGTTACCAAAGGATTAATGCGGTGTATGAAAAACAGGGACAACCTCTACAAGAAATTAAAAAAGGACCCTGAAAATGAAGCACTCAAACTAACTTACAAACGCTACCGGAATTACTGTAACTCCCTTCTTAAAAAAGCGAAAAGAGATTATGAGAAACAAGAGATCGAGAAGGCGAAATATAATAAAAAAAAGCTGTGGGAAGCCATAAAAAATCTGACCGGCTCCAATAGGGTAGTAGATCGCTCATCCTGTCTTATCTCTCCCGAAAATCCGGAAAAAAGTATAAACGACATCAACTATTTCTTCGCTAATATTGGACGAAACCTAGCTGAAGACATTATATTACGTTCTGGACACAGAAAATTTACTGAACCTGACGTCTTGTATCCATCCCCCATCAATTCATTTGTCATGCTACCTACGGATGAGGATGAAATTTTCCAGCTGATCCAGGGTTTAAGAGACAACTGTGCAGTAGGGCTCGACCAGATTTCTAGCATAATACTCAAGAGATATATACACATCCTTACCCCCCCTATTACACATATATGCAACCTGTCTTTGTCTACGGGAATCTTTCCCTCAGCATTCAAAACAGCACTCATCAAACCCATTCACAAAAGTGGTGAGAGGGACTGTGTCAATAACTACAGGCCAATCTCCATCTTACCCACACTGTCCAAAATCTTGGAGCGCCTAATAAATAAGCGCTTAATCAATTTCCTGGAGGGAAATAATCTCCTTTCACCAGCGCAATTCGGATTTCGGCAAGGCAAGTCAACAAATAATGCGGTACATGAGCTTGTTAACTCAGTCATAACCAACTTGGATGAAAGAAGAAAATGCCTAACAATATTTCTCGATCTAGCGAAAGCATTTGACACAGTCCCAATCCCACACCTCATAACCAAGCTGGAAAAAATCGGTGTGAGAGGCTTACCTCTGCAGTTAATATCAAACTTTCTAAGTGGAAGAAAGCAGAGAGTTGGAATAGAGAATGCGATAAGTGAAGAGTTAATTGTCAAATTTGGTCTGCCCCAAGGTAGCATACTCAGCCCAACGCTGTTCTTGATATATGTCAACGATTTATGCCAGCTTCAGCTACACAATGGGAAAATATTCTCATTTGCCGACGATACTGCACTATTCTTCAGTGGTAATAGTTGGAGGGAGGTTTTTGATTTTGCACAAAGAGGTTTTACTAAGTGCTGCCTCTGGTTACAAAAGAATGTGTTGACACTAAACACTGATAAAACAAAATACATAACCTTCACACTTAGGTCGAACCAAAGTCCCCCTCACTCCCTCTCCATCACAGCCCATGTTTGCAACTCTGAGCCAACTATTTGCAATTGTCCCGCTATTCAAAAAACAGACAAAATCAAATACCTCGGAATTATAATAGACCAAACTCTGACTTTCAAGCCACATATTGAGATACTTGTCACTAGGTTACGCAAGCTCATTTACATCTTCAAATCTCTTAAACACGTAGCAGACTGCCGAATCATCAAGATGGTCTACCACGCTCTATGCCAATCACTTGTAGATTACTGCATCAGCTCATGGGGTGGTGCAGCTAAAACCCACCTAATTGAGGTTGAAAGAGCCCAACGGGCCATCCTAAAAGTCAGTGCAGGTCTCCCGTTCTGCTTTCCTACAGTGGAACTCTACAGAAAGTGGGACGTTCTAACAGTGAGACAGTCTTTCATCGTACAAACTGTCCTAATGAAACACTCTCAATGTAAATACGATCCGGAGCTCCTAAAAGACAAACGCAGAAAAGGTTCTGTCTGTCGAACCCAATCCTTCCATTCGGCCACCTCACACAATTTCTTCTGTTTCCTAGGACCATACATGTATAATAAACTAAACAATATCCTAAACTTCTATCACTTACCTAAATCGAGCTGCAAATCCGTTCTTACAAAATATCTGAAAACTTTAGACTATGAAGCGACAGAAAACCTACTAAAGTCGCCCATATAATTATATTAATGTCGTCGAAGTCTTCACACTTTCTTCTCCTTATTTGGGTTTAAATGCAATTATACGAGTATGTTAGTCCTAACTCACGCAATAGCAGGTACGTCCACAATCACACTAACTCTCTCAAATCTCACACACACTAACTCACACACACATTCCCACACACAAACACACACACACACACACACACACACACACACACACACACACACACACACACACACACACACACACACACACACACACACACACACCATGCACACGCAAAAGCCACGCGCCTGCACGAGCTCACACGCACAACTACACTTTCATAGTACACACTTATTGATGTAAAATTTGTAATTATTGCAGTTCATTTTAGTTACTTAATTATATTCTCCTTTCTGATTGTATTCCTCAGATTGTTGCTTTATACGCGGGGGAGCCCTGGTGATCTGTAATACAGGTTTTTTAAACCTACATCAGGCACCAGTCTCTCACAAGTTAGGTACCAGTATGGCACTTTTGTAAACACTTAGCATTAAGAATACCTATTGTGAAGAGAGAATAAATGCATTCATTCATTCATTCATTCATTCAATTCACAGTTACATTGAAGCTGACACTGACTGTTCAAATTAAGAATGGAATCATTCCAGAAAAGGGCACTTCATCCATAATATACTATAGCTTTATACGTGCCCGTAAGTATAGTAAGTAGTTATCCAACTATATCTTATTTACCTAAATCTAAAAGACTTCAATATTTTACTTGAAAATAATGTTTCTTTAAAATTATTATGGCAACCAATGTTTTTATTTTAGGTTACAAATTCTACACCACGAATTTATCAAAAGATAAAATTATGCTGCAGCTGTGCATGTGCCAAGAAGATGACGTATCTATTTCGCAAATGGGTATGCGGTGTACTCGAGAATGAAATTTCACGTCGTCCATCGCACTCTAAGGCTTTATCAGGAATCTGTGGTTCTTACGTCAGCATCCCGAACATAAATAGGCATATATTTATGGCCAGTATTAAGAAAAGACTCGAATAAAAAAATATTTTTAAAGTTTTTTAATAACTTTAATTAATCATTTAAAAACTACTTTTACTCTTTGAAATTTATTAAAATGATATTTATTTTTATAAAACCAAAATGAAAAACAAACTTCTAGTCCACCTGATAATAAGTGACTATTGCACAATATGGACGTCTGCAGTTATTCAAATTAAGAAAGCTAAAGTGCGTTGTCCCCTCTGAGGTCTAAGATGGAACAACTCATAGCCTATAATCATACTGCCTCTCAATAGCCTTCAGATTAAAACAAAGCAGTGCAAGTACTACTATTATGCGAAGGAAAGTGAGGGTAATAATGGGGTTGTTGGAGATTAGGAAACACTCTCAGAAGTGAGGGGAGGCCTTTTTTTTTTTGCGGATGGAAAATCATCTAATGACCCCTTTCGCTCTGGGTGGAGCGTAAGGGAGTGTCAGACTTTTACTGACTAAAAACCATCCGTGTTCCTTCAGTGCCCTTACGTTCCGGAGCCGCGGTATCTCTTTCGAACAGCCCGCAGCCCCGGCAGGCGTTGGCCCTTACGGGCCCCTTCACGCTGCTGACAGCTCTTTGAGGCGCGCGTGGAATAAAACGCGCCGTCGACACGGCCTGTCGTCGTTAGACGGACGGACGGCGAGCTACCCATTGCACGTCGTCCACAGGCCCGCGCCTACGGTGGCCGGGGGCCACGACGTAGCCCCCGACGCCCGGGGCGTCTCCCGCGGCGGCCGGGGAGGAAAGCTGCTGCTCTCTCCTTCTCCCGCTCCGCCACCTCCTTCGCTAGCATCACTGCTTCGCAGAAGGTGGTGACGGCATCCCATTCCGTCTCGCTCCGGACCATGGCTTCGACCAGGGCCGGACGCGAGAGGTCGCCGCCGCCTATCGCCGCTACGAGGACACGGCGGTGCTCCGCCCAAGCAGGGCACACCTCAAGTGAGGGGAGGCCTGTGTCCAGCAGTGGGACGTATATAGGCTGTAACTTTACTTTTTACTTTACTATGGGTTTGTAACTACTTATACGTTTTCTTCAGACAACACGTCTTACTATCATGTAAAAGTATAGTTTTCATTAAAAATAGAGTTAAACTATTTTAAGGTTTGTCGTGAACTTCAAAATGTACGACCGTTAAAATTAAGAGATTTAAGAAAGATTAGGCAGGAAGCTCTGGTTGTTTTTTGTTAAACTTACATCGTTTCCTATCACTTGCTTTTATAATATCTGAAATATTTCAAAATTTTTTCTCTTATAATTTTATTTCATGAAACAAGAAATATAGAGAAAATACAAAAAACGGTAGAAGAGTGCCAAACATTTGTAAAATATGCGTATATAGCATATTATAAAGATCATAAGTTGCGACGTAAATAAAAAGTTTCGTAAACGTCGAGTGGAGTGAAATAATATATGGATGTTGAAGAAAAAGGAGCGCTTTGAACTCCTCTCTTTTGATGTTGGAGTGTGCTAGGGGATTAAGATAAAAATTTTTCGCTGAATACCTTTGAGAAAATAATTTACATAAGCGGTTGATTCAAAAACGTTATAAATTGGCGTCGGCGCGAAACGCTACACGATCCGGGTATAACTCAACGTAACAGCGTCATTAGGACTCCGCAATGGCGTTAACTAATAACAGGGACTTGAGACTTTAGCTCAGCCATTGAAGCTCAGTGACAGGGAAAGGTTTTATTCTGATGTGATTTTTTTGTGCCGAATTGCAACGGGCCGAGTGCGGGGAGGGATCCGCCGGGCCCAGGCGTGCGCAGCCGGTAGTGGCTGGCGAACCGTCGCGGTGAACAAACCTTTGATTTGGTCCCACGTTGGGCGCCATAATTCCGTTTCGAAACGTGTTGTATAAGGTAAAATAAAAACAAGGTGAAAGTGCATGTGATGGATGCAACCGGTGATTTGTGATTACTTAATAACGTATAAATATATTTGCTTTAATATATGAAGTAAATAAACGCGACAGTAAACTAAATAGTGAGTTTAAAGTTAATGATAATTATTGATAACGTTTAGTGAAGTGATTTGTTGGTTAAGCAATTAAAGTAAGTATCTAATTTTAAGTTCGTACTCATGATTTATATTAAAATCGTCGATTTATTTAGGTAACTACGTACATAAAAATGCACTACTGCAAATAGTAAATTATTTGTTTTAAAACTCTTTAAAAGAATCCTCATTACGTCCACCACGTACAAAAATGATATTTTAGGCCCGTTTATTGATGAAAATAAACTTTATTTTGTTAAATGCTCAATTGTCTAGTGTGTAGCCGTTGATGGATTAGTTAAGATACTTACATTGTTTTAGGAAACTGCATTGACTCGAGTTGACCTGTTACTACAGTGTACGTTTACATTTACGTTTAGTCATTTTTCGGTATTAGTGAAACATCATAAATTCAATAAATAAATAAAAATATTGTCTTACACAAAAATAGTAAGTCTTATAAAATTCATAAAAATAAAATAAATAAAAGCTTCTAAGCTTTCTCCTTTAAAACTTTGGTAAGACAAAAATTTCTTCAAAACTATGTACATAATAAACAATAGTATAACACAACTATTATATAAACAGTTCAGCAATTGAAGTAAATTGCCTTTTAAATTAAAAAAAATATATATAAATTATCACGACCTCAGAGCATTGGTGAAGAAAACAATCATGGAAAACTTATATCCAGGGGAAGTACTATCATCTAAACTCTTTCCGACGGCCTATAGCTGCTATATTCTTCTCTGAAAAGAATACAGGCAGTATATTTACCGTCTGTGAGGAATTCTTTCCAAGTCCTCAGACAAAGAATCTGTAGCTGGATATGTTCTTTAACGTGGTAGAGCCATGCTGCAGCTATATTATGGTTGTAGCACGAATGGGTCGGCTCGACCGGGGAAGGACCACGCTCCCACAGAATACCAGCGTAAAATAGCAACTCAATGCTGCTGTGTTTCGTATGGTGAGTGTAGAGAACTGGAGACTCCTTTTTACTGGAATTTCATCGTAGTCCTCAGGAGATTCAACGAACGTGCTTTTTAATCTTTAAGAGGATTGTGAAGTGCCGACACGCGGCACGAGTTGGTATTTTCCAAAATGGTATCTGTTCACATCGCTCACTCCGTATCGCCGTCGCGCGATGGAGAGTTGCAAATATTGGCAGTAAAAATAAAAAATGTAGGCTTTTAAAATATTGTTTCCAGCTATTACGTTTTCACCCCCCAAATTATTTACGAAATGAGATAATTTTGGTCTCATTATATTCAATATACCTTAATTTAGGCCTGTACGTTTTCCTTTTTTAATAATTCAGTTTGGTTTAATTTAAAAAAAACGCTCGAGGAAGTTTTTAAGTCAAAAACGTAGATATTTAGATGCTAATAACTTATAACGTACGCAATATTTCCATTACATAAAATGTACAAACCTAGTTTTTATTATATCTGCAACCTTTCCAAAATTATGAAAATTAGACTTTGTTTACGGGAGGGAAAATGTTATCGCTTTTTGTATGAAAATTTACAGCTTCACAGTCCTCTTAATAGAGGTGAATGTAGATGTCTACTGGCCACAGCATCCACTTACTATAAGGTGGACTTTGTGCTTGTTTGTCACTCTTATTCTATGAAAAAAAAAATTATTCCTTTAAAGTTGACTCCATGTGGATGCTTAGTTCGTTCATTACTGTAATTTATGAAAAAACACTTTCAGGAAAAACGCTCCAGTACATACACGACATACACTGTTCTTCAAGAAAAGTGATAACGCCCTCTTGAAGAACTACAGACCGATATCCCTTTTGAGCCGCGTCTAAGTGCTGTTTTCGAGAGTCATGACGAATCGTCTCGCATGCAGACTCGAAGACTTCAAGCCTCCCGAACAAGCCGGTTTCCGAAAAGGCGTTAGTACCATAGACCACATACATACCCTTCGGCGAATTGTACAGAAGTCCGAAGAGTATAATCTGCTACTTTGCCTGGCGTATGTGGACTATGAGAAAGCCTTTGATTCCGTCGAAATTTGGGCGGTGCTACAGTCTCTTCAGCGGTGCCAAGTTGACTGTCGGTATATCGAAGTGCTGAAGTGTTTGTACAGTAGGGCTACAATGGCTATCCGAGTACAGAACCAGAGTACGAAACCTATCCAAGTGCAGAGAGGTGTAAGACAGGGTGACGTTATTTCCCCGAAACTCTTCACCGCTGCATTGGAAGACGTTTTCAAGCTACTGGACTGGAAAGGATACGGTATTAACATCAATGGCGAGTACATCACTCACCTTTGATTTGCCGACGATAAAGTCCTTATGGCAGAATCACTGGAGGACTTAAGCACTATGCTCAATGACCTCACGATGAATAGTGCCTCCCAACGGATAGGTCTTAAGATGAACATGGACAAAACAAAGATCATGTTTAATGTCCATGTCACACCTATGCCGGTAGTTGTTGGGAGCACTAAGCTCGAAGTTGTTGACGCGTACGTTTACCTGGGACAAATAGTCCGACTAGGTAAGTCCAACTTCGACTGAGAGGTCAATCGACGGATTCAACTCGGCTGGGCAGCGTTCGGGAAATTACGACGCATCTTCTCGTCAGGTATACCTCAAAACCTGAAGACTAAGTTGTACAACCAGTGCGTGCTGCCAGTGATGACTTACGGAACCGAGACTTAGTCCTTTACTGCTGGCCGTATGAGGACGCTCAAAGTCGCTCAGCGAGCTATGGAGAGGGCTATGTTCGGAGTTTCTCTGCGTGATAAACTTAGAAATGAGGATATCCGCAGTAGAATCAGAGTGACTGACATAGTCCAACGGATTAGTAAGCTGAAGTGGCAATGGGCCGGCCATATAGCTCGAAGAACCGACAACCGTTGGGGAAAAAAGG